GGCTCCAAACTAAGTACAATTCAGCAAAGCAGCTCCATGAGGGGCTGGAACATTTGGAAGACCCACAGCACCAGAGCAGTGTTTATTAGCAATCTTTGAAAATTATTCTCTGGCTCCAGGTAGATCGAGAGGCTCAACCTTCCAGGGGGCAGAGGAGCTGGGGTGAAGATATGCTGAGCTGTGGGCAGTGGGATGGTCACTCCCTCATGGAAAGTGGTAAGCCTCATGGAAAGATGAGAAATCAGATCTGCACAATGACAGGTAGATGGAGTAACTTCCTCAGACATGCAAGGAAGCAATCTGTTTTCTCCAATGGAGTGTCACAGGGTATGTCAACCACATTTTAGGGTGGGCCCTGTGCCCAGAAGTAGTTCCCAACAAAAAACCAACTCAGTGGCATTTTTTGTGGACTTTTTGTTTCATTTGCTTTGACTTTTTTGTCTTATTATTCTTATATTCATATCTTCAATATGTTGCATGAAAAACAATTTTAATAAAAATAATTTAAAAGATATGAAAGGAAGCAGGAGCCCCAAGCTAAGCATTACTACCAGCATCATTAGCATCAATATTAGTACCAGTGTTATCAGCTAATTTAACATCAGCATCAGCACCAGTATCCTCAGCATCAGTACCAGCATCATCACTTTCATTATCATATCATCATCATCATCATCAGCAGCAGCAGCAGCAGCCTACATTATAGAAGAAAGCAGTAAAATTCGATCTGGGCACATTCTCAAAGCAGGTGTTTCCAATGCAGCCAAATGAGGCTGCACATAGAATTTTGTGTTCTGACAAATTGCCATGGTAATCACACTGTTCTTCTTCATTTGACAGCTTATTATCTAGCAGTCGAAGTAATTGGGGAAATTTTTGTTTCTGTGTTACATGGATCTAACAGTGGGAATATCAGGGAAGGGGACGGAGGGAGGCAGAGGCATCATGCTTCAAGGCTTGGAAGAGGAAGAGGCAAAGAGAGAGGTAGAGACAGAGAGGAAGAGGGAAAGAGAGAGGGAGGGGCTGAGTGGAGGGGAGGGCAGGCACAAGGGAGGGAGGAGGCAGAGCAGAAGAGAAGAAAGGAAGAGAGAAAGTGGAAGACAGAGTCTGGCTGATGCTAACAGGAAAAGATTGGAGGATGCAGAAAGGAGGAGGCTTAGGGTCCCCGAGGGCATCAGCCCCAATTGAGAGGCAGCTGGGCAGAGTCTAATCAGGGCCTGTGGTTGGCAGGTTCCACAGAGAACATCTGTGTCTTTCCTCAGTAAGATAAGGTTGCAGGCAGTTTCCCTTTGAGCCTCAGAAGCCCCTACAGGGAGCAGCTGCACTTGAGTGTCGAGACAGCATGCAGACACTGTCCTCTGTTGCACATCCAGGGGGCCCAGGTCATCTACTGGAGGGGGAAAATTCCTAGTCTGACTCAAGCTACATGCTTCCATTTCAAAGCACATCGTTGACTTTCCCTGGAGAAATAAGGATCTGGCCATCAGGACAACTGAGAGCAGCAGACACTTTTATGAACTTCACTTTCCGTATGATGCTCCCACTGTGCCTGCGGTAGATGGTCAAGAAGGGGCCAGTAAATCATCACTGAGTTGTCATTGAGGACTTGATTCATTTATTATTTTATGTGTATGAGTGTTTTGTCTGCATGTATATATGTGCACTACATGCATGCCTGGTGCTTGAGGTCAGGAGAGGGTATTGGATCCCTGGGGACTGGAGTTACAGACAGCTGTGGGCTGCTGGGTGCTGGGAATCTAACCATGGGGCCTCTGCAAGAGCAACAAGTAAGCGTTTTTAATTGCTGAGCTAACTGCAGCCCCAAGGACTTGTTTTAAGGATCTTTGCTATACCATTCAGCTGCCTAGGTCAATCTGAGAACTCTGCCAGCTCCTCCAAAGGACCTTGGGTTCGGGGACTAGGAGACCCTGAGAGTGTAATAGCTCAGTTAGGCTCAACCTGGTTGCAAACCCTTTCTAAGATCTGCAGGACCAAGAAGGCTTGATGCTTGTTGACTATGCCCCAACTTGGCTCATCAGCCCCAACCAAGGTGATAATGGAGGGAAGGGGGGTTGATGATGGGACATTGTCTTTAGATAGGATTGCCCTGCCAGTGTGTGAAGGGAGTCCATTTACACAGAGTGGAGAGCAGAGCCCTTGACAAAGAAGTAGAGAGCCCAAGGCAGGAGGAAACGGATCCCAGTGACATTGACTAAAATCCTGTGTTGACCTCTGTCTGAACCAGAAAGCATTTGTTTGGATTTGAGGTCCCCCAAAGGCCTGTGTGCTGAAGGCTTGGGCTGCCATATGGCAGTGTTGAGAGGCAGAGTTCTGGGAGCCGAGTGAATCCCATGCACTCTGGGTTTATTCACAGATGGATTCATATATAGTTTTAGGAGTTAATGAGAGGTGATGGAAACATGGAGATGGAGTGTGGTTGGAGGAGGTAATGGAAACAGGGAGATGGAGTGTGGTTGGAGGAGGCTGGTCACTGGAGCTGTGACCTTAAAGAGGTTCCTTGCTAGTGGTCTACCATGAAGTGAACATTTTTGTAATGGTCTGTCTTGCCACACACCCAGAAACAATGGAGCCAATCATCCATGGACTGAAACTTCTGAACCTGTGGGCCCAAAGAAATGCTTCTTCCTTTGTGTTGATTCTCTCTCTCCCTCTCTCTCTCCCCCTTCCTCCCTCCCTCTCCCTCTCTTTCAGTGATAGAGTGGCTAAGTGGTTAAGAGTACTGGCTGCTCCAGGTTCTCTCTCTTGTTGCTCCAATTTCAGGGGATCCACTGTCCACGTCTGAACTCTGCAGGCAGCAGACAGTCATGTGTGCATACATACAGGCAATGCCTATGCACATTAAACTTTTCAACATTTTTTGTTAGACAGAGTCTCTCTACATACCCGTGGCTGTCTTGACGCTTACTATGTAGAACAAGTTAGCCTCAAATTCACAGAGATCTATGTGCTGGGATTTAAAGATATGTGACACCACACCTGGCTGTAAATTTTGTTTTAGTTAAAAATGTTTGAATGAGCCGGGCGCTGGTGGCACATGCCTTTAATCCCAGGACTCGGGAGGCAGAGGCAGGCGGATCTCTGCGAGTTCGAGGCCAACCTGGTCTACAGAGCGAGTTCCAGGAAAGGTGCAAAGCTACACAGGGAGACCCTGTCTCGAAAACCAAAAAAAAAAAAAAAAAAGTGTTTGAATGAGGACTAGAGATGCAGCTTGGATACTAAGGTGCTTGCCTAGCATGTATGAGGCCATTGGATTGATTCTTAGCAACACACAAACCAGGTGTGTGTGCATGCATGCCTATAATTCTATCACTGAGGAGACAGGATTGCCTACCAGTCTGAGGCCAGCCTTGTCTACACAAGTGAGTCCCCAGCCAGACCAGGAACTGTTTCAAAAAATCAAACCAATCAGAGAAATGAAAACCATACTTTTTGTTGTTAATGCTTTGAGATAGGGTATTTACTGGGTAGCTCAAGCTGGGTTCAAATGCGTGACCCTCTGCCTCCCAAGTGCTGACAGCAACACATCTTAAGGATGGAAAACAGACACCAGATTAGGATCCATTATTCTGATTTTTGTTTACATAAAATTTGCAGAGTGTAACACTCCCCAGCAGGGTACAGTCCTTTTCAGTGTGGCAGTCTGATAGAGGTGGAATGGGGCTTTTTCTCCCTTGAGTCTTCACATGGGGGTTTGTTTGGACATTAGAATGTAGGAGAACATGTGTCTGATTTTTAGAGCCCAGTCTAGCCCACTAGACATGACAAATGTAGCCAAATGTCTCTGGACCAGCCCAGCCCCCTCCACAGGACGCTGGGCTCACCTCTGTGTCGCCATCCAAAGAAGTCATATCGGTTGCTTTAAATCACTTTGTTGCCATTATTATACTTTCCTTTTCAGTGATGGAACTCAGGCCTTGCACACGCTAGGCAAGTGCTCTACCATGATACAGCATCTCCAGTCTTTTATTTTTTACTTTTTATTTTTGTAAGACAGGGCCTCAGGCCTCAGTATCTAACTCAGACCGGCTTGAAGCTCACTTTCTTCCTGCCTCTGCCTTCCCAGAGAGCTGGGTTATAGGCAGGCATCACAGGTGACCCAATCCACTAAATTTTGCAATCAGGAAGTAAAAGCTGAGACACCCTAACCCTGATTTCTCATGTCACAGCACATCATTTCTTCCACACTCTTAAAAATCATTTAGCTGGTTTTTGAGCCAAGGTCTCACGCAGCCTCAGATCAAGTGCTGGGGTGACCGGTGTGCCACCATGCCTAGTGATGAAATATTTATAAGCTTCCTTTGGTTGCTGACCCCGGAGATCAACCCAGTCAGCTTAAAATAAAAGGGGAATACAATGAGAAGGTTCCTGGGGCTTGTTGAGGGGTAGGGAGAGAAGTCTGGCCTCTGCTCTTAGCAGCAGCTTCCTTAATTCCTGTTTCCTACCCGAAAATGGCTCTGGACAGTTCCACGATACTAATAATCAGTTCAGGTTCTCAGGACAGCCCCCTAGGCTGTCCTTTGAACCATCCTGCAGGCTTAGTGTCTTACAGTCAGGACTTTAAGCTAAGAAAGTATCCAGGCAGGACTAGACACATGGGAATAGTTCATCTGAACTGCAGAAATCTCAAGAGTTAATCTGCCAACTGGAAATGGTTACACATCCTGGCTTGGGCCTGTGTTTTGAACTACATTATCTTTCCTGAAGGCTTTTCCTTTCAAACCCTCCCTGCAGCTACTGACCGCCATCAAGGCTTCTTACAAAAGCAATCTGTAGAGCAGGATTGCAACAGTAACACTCCTGTAACACTGTACATTTTGACAGAGCCCAAGCCAATCTTTTGCACCAGGTCCTTGAGCAGACCCGGGGGGTCGGGTGGGGGGTGCTATTTAGTTTAGTGTTTTTTTTTTTTTTTTAAAAACAAACAAAAGTTGGCCTGTAGATAAATAAGGACGAGGGCAGGTGAGGCGGCTCACACCTGTAATTCCAGCACTTCGTGAGGTTGAAGCAGAAGAATCAAGAGTTCAAGACTAGCTTGGACTACGGAATGAGTTCTAGGCCAGCCTTAGATACATGAGATTTGTCTCAAAAGGGGGGCGGGGGAGGGGAATGTATTAAGAAAAACAAAAACAAAAAACCTTAAGGCCTGAGTATCCTGGCGTTGTGAACAGAAAGGAACGACGCGGGACACATGATTTGGGTCTGGCCCAGGTGCCGGCTGCTCACAGGCGCAGGTTGCACCTTCAGCTGAAGCCTGTTCCGGAGGGCGCCAGTAGCGAGTGGGCGAGCAAGCTGGGGGTTCACAGCAGCGCCCCAAGCGCGGGCGGGGGCCCAGCGGGCGCGCGGGGAGGTGCAGGCTTTAGGCTGGGGCGGCGCCTTCGCCTCCGGCTGCCGTAGGACCGCCGGGCCGCCGTTCCATCGGCGACATCTTGGTGGAGGACTCCCCGGGGGAAACGCTGGTCACCCAGTAGCTGCTGCGCCACGATCTCTGCTGACCTCCGGAGCGCGCAGGATCGAACGCGCAGGCGGTAAGACTGCTGCTCCCGGAGTCCCCACTCCCCGCCCAGGAGGGTGCCTGGGGACCCAGATACCCGGCCTTGCCACCCTGAGTCCGGTAGTCTCCACCTCTACCCGGTGAGGCGGACCCCAGCCCTACCACCCAAGAGTACCACTCCTCGTAGCTAGATCAAGTCTCCTGGAATCCCTCCTGGAACCCCGCCCCCGCTGCTACCTGAACCCCAGGGCCCGCCCCTGGCCCGAGACTCCGCCCCCCAAGGACTCCGCCCCTCTCCCGGAATCACTCCGTCACAGACCCGCCTCCTCCCCGCCCCTCTTTGCCCCAGCCTCCTCCCTCCGGTCCGGGCGGGGCTCCGAGTTTGAACGGCGCGGCGGGCCGGGCTTCTGAGCCGGGTCGGGCCCATAGGCGGCGGCGCCGAGCAGGCAGTCTGCGGCGCGCGGCACCATGTCCCCGGGCAGTGGAGTGAAGAGCGAGTACATGAAGCGCTACCGGGAGCCGCGCTGGGACGAGTATGCGCCATGCTACCGCGAGCTGCTGCGTTACCGCCTGGGCCGCCGGCTGCTGGAGCAGGCCCACGCGCCCTGGCTCTGGGATGCTTGGGGCCCAGACAGCCCCTCAGACAGCTCGGCTTCCCCCAGTCCGGCGCCCAGGGGCGCGTTAGGGGAGCCCTCGGCACCTTCCGCGCGGGAGGAGGAGCGGACGGTCGGGGAGCGCGGAGCGGAGCTGCGGGGCGCGGAGGTTGGGGACGCGGAGGAGCACGACACAGTGCTACCAGGTACGGACACAGCGGGTCGCTCCAACGACTGAGCTGCGCGTTTCTCCCCTCTCCCGGCATGGCTTCCTGTTTTGTTTTGGTTGAGGTTGACAGAATCCGCTTGCTGAACTAAGAGGGGAAGGTGCTGGCCGCGTCTCCGCTCTCCCTCCCTAGATTTCCCTAATTTGGTGACTCTTGGCGGAGCCCTTTTATGACCTCTAAGTGCCCACCCTCCTCACCCCATCCCCGGGTCAGGGGTCCTTGGTCGCAAGGCAGTGGCCGCCTCAGTGAGCCCTCGATCCACCAGATGACGGATCTGTTTGTTTCTGCGCATCCCTAGAGGATGCTAGAGGAGCTTTTCATTCCCAAGATGACCCACGAAGTTAAGAAAACCCGAGCTGTCATAATGGGGTCATGGTTGTCTGTGTGAACTCCTTGGCCTGGCCGCGCTGTTTTTGAAGAATGGTGTGCGTGTGTTTGTGGACGAAACCTCTTTGTTTACGCGGGTGCCAGCCGCGCACCCTGGTTAGGCTGTGAGCCACTTTTCCCGCTGTTGCGGAGTGGGTCTGTCAGCAGAGAGGCCTGGAGGGTGCTGGGGCTCAGGGCGGTGCTAAACTGGAGATCACTATGGTTGCTAGCCACCTCCTCGAGATCTTATGGGAATCGCGTGATAAAAAAAGTTATTAGTCAGCCACTCGTTTAGAAATATGTATTTTCTCACCAGACATTCAGATAGTTATAAGATGGGGCCTTTGTTTTTAATCTCAGTTTTGTAAACAAAGACCTGGGAGCTTGGGATCCATGGTCAGACTCTGAAAGGATCCGGTTGCTTTTGCTCTTGGTTACCCTGTTTGCCTATTCTCAGTTCCTGCATTCAGGCTGCGTCCTGTCATCAGGTCGCTTGTGACGACCACTCCTGATGCTTCAGTGATGTGGTTAGAAATCAGAGTGTCAGAAAGTGGTGTGTGTGTCGGGTGCGGCTAGGAGCGTGACTCCCAGTTATCCGGTTCTAACGATGAGGTTTATTTTATCGGGATGAATACACAGGCTTTTCTTTTTCCCTCCGTGGTTTGATGAGGTTACCCACTAGCTGTGTGTGCTATATGAAAACTGTTGATAGCATTTTAGTGTGCTTGGTGCCTGTGTTTGACTACTTAGGAATGCCGGAGTTCATAATTATTTGGGTTTCCATGGAGATACTGAGTCCTCCCCCAAAGATTCGATAAATCCCTGCTAAAATTTTTGGTGTGTAGGCATTAGGGAATATAGATGTGCCCTGCTTTGGATTCTTCATCGCCAGCTCTTTTGCATGGCTCCTGCGGGCCAGTGTCAATATGAGAAATGTTCCTGGTGGATGCTTGCATTGCTCTAAAGTACATTTGCCTTACTTGTACTGCAAGCCACTCTCCACCTCCCCCCACATCTCCCCTCCCCCCGCTCCCCAAGACAGGGTTTCTCTGTCTTCCCTGGCTGTCCTGGAACTTACTCTGTAAACCAGACTGTCCTGGAACTCAGAGATCTGCCTGCCTCTGCCTTCTCAGTGCTGAAATTTAAAGGCTTAGGCCACCATTGCCCGGCTACAAGGCATTTTTGCATGAAGAATTTTGAAGCTCTGCAAAGCTTATTACAAAAACACAGTGCCCTCCAGCAGCTGCCTACTTCTTAGGTAACCTGCTTCTAGCTTCTCTGCTTTTTCCCTTTTGTGGTATTGAAAATTGAATTCAGGACCTTGGGCATGCTAGGCATATGCTCTATGACTGAACTGTACATCCCTAGTTCTCTTTGTATCTTTTGTTTTGAGATAGGGTCTCACTAAGCCGCACTGGCCTTGAATGTCATCTGTAGCTCAGGCTAGCCTCAAATTGATGATTCTTCTGTTTCAGTCTCCTGAATGAGTAGCTGATATTATAGGCCTGGGCTACCAAGCCCAGCCTCTTTTTATTTGTATTCTTCTTTTGGGGCCAGGTCTTACAGTGTTGCCCAGGTTGGCCTCAGACTCCTAGGCTTAAGCCATCCTTTTGCCCCAGTTTCCCGAGTAGCTCAGCCCACAGGTGAATGTCATCACACTTGGCTGGTATTTACTTCTATATACCTTTATGGACACTAATTGATATCCGCCCCCCTTTTTTTGTTTGTTTTTGTTTTTTTACCTTGGCTTTTATTTCTACTCTCCTAATACACATGTCTGTTTCCACACACTCTTCATAGCCAGCATATCTGTGTGATATTGGGCCCATGGCAATGGGGGAGTGCTCAAAGCTGACCCACTTTGCTTCTCTGGGTCCTTTTTCTTTCTCTCACAATGTGGCCAATACAGTGGTTCACCATCACACTCACCTTAACTCTTCCCTCGGGGCCACCGACCTACTTCTGTCTGGCCTGCCTGCCGCCCCTGTGGCAGGCTTGACTGACATTTGTTGTCTAAAGAGGGGCCTTGACATTACGTCAGGCACAGCTTCTCTCTCACAGATGGGAATCACTGTCATGTTTTGACTTACCTCCTCATGGGAGAGGTCATCTACCTATCAGCTTAAGAAAGTCGAATTTCTGAGACCACTGTTTAAAAAGGATCATACTTTTTGAGTTTGTGATGATGGTTCATTGTTTCTAAAACATCTGGAAGCATTGCTCTATTGCTGTGACTTCTGATTCTTTTGTTTGTTTGTTTTCCACGACAGGGTTTCTCTGTATAGCCTTGACTGTCCTGGATCTCACTCTGTAGATCAGGCCTGGAACTCAGAGATTCACCTGAATCTGCTTCCCGAGTGTTGGAGTAAAGGCATGCGCCACCACTGCCCAGCTTGACTTCTAATTCTTGATCCATACCTATAACTGTGCTGAGGGGGGCTGTTAGAATCTTTTTTTCTGTCCTGACTCTCAGGAATTGATGTAGGTTACCTGGAAGTTCCTATAACCAAACTCTTAAATTTTGTTTTCTTTATTTTTTATTTTATGTGTGTGTTTTACTTGTATATATGTCTGTATACTGTGTACATGCAGTACCCTCAGAAGCCAGAAGAGAGTGTTGTATCCCCTGGAACTGGAGGTTGTAAGCTTTCATGTAGGTGCTTGGAATAGAACCTGGATCCTCAGGAAGAGCAGCCGGTGCTCTTAACCGTTGGGCCACTCTCCAGTCCCCAATTTCTCTTTTTAATTCTGGGGAGTCTTCTTGATTTATTTTTTTTTAATTTCATTTTATTTCTCCTTTTGGGGGTGGTTTATGAAGTGGAATTCAAGACTTTGTATAGCTAGGAAAGCACTGTGCAACTGAGCTTCTGGTCTATTATTTCTTTTAGAAATTAAAACAATGGTAAATAAAAACTATAGACATTGATGGTTCACCTTGCGGTGTTTCCACAGGTGTATACAGTGTGTAATGCCGAAATCAAGTCAAGCACGTGCGTCATATCAAATGCTCGGCGGCTCCGCTGATAGAGTGCTTGTTTCCATGCACACGGCCCTGGGTTCCAGCCCCAGCACAAACACCTGTGGTGTAATGCGTGCTTGTAATTCCAGCACTTAGGTTGAGGCCGGAGGCTGGGAAGTGAGTTCGAGGTCAGTCTGAGAAAGATCCATGAGACCTTGTTTCAAAGGGAAAAAAGTATCAAGTTCATTGTTTGTGTAGTTTTTTTTCTTTCCTGTTTTGGAGACAGTTTTCCTATGTAGCCCAGGCTGGCCTAAACTGAATCCTCCAGGTGCTGGGAATCACGGGAGGGCACTGCTCCCTGCTTGCAAAAGTATTAGGTTCTTGATGAGGGTACACTGTATTTTTTCTTGTAAAAGATACTTTTAGAGGGTTTTGTTTCTCCTTGTGTGTTTAGCAGAGTATATCCTCCCCTTTTTTGCTTTGTTTCTTTTTGCTTGTAATTCTGTATTGCTCTCGGGAGGCCTTTTTTTCCCTAATGAATGGGATCTGTTGGCTTCTTTTCCGTATTTGAGAAATGGCTGTGATAAGTTCCTTGTAAGTCCTGGGTGCTGTGTTGGAGGTGGGAGTGCTGGGTTAGCAGGAATTCTATAACTTGCTAGACATGCTTCTTTGAAAGATGGTGAAGACGGCTTCCAGATTTATTTTTGTAATACTTGGGACCCACCACAGGGCTCCTCCATGCTAGGTAAGAGTGTCACTCTGGTCCATGGCAGTGACAGTGTCAAGGAAGTGTGTCACTCTGGTCCACGGCAGTGACAGTGTCAAGGAGGTGTGTCACTCTGGTCCACGGCAGTGACAGTGTCAAGGAGGTGTGTCACTCTGGTCCACGGCAGTGACAGTGTCAGACTGCCGGCCTGTTAGACTGTCTCCAGTTCTTATTTCATAGTCACGTTTTCAAGCACATTTTACTTTTGGTAAGGTTTACATGCGCCTTATTTTAAACAACCTGCCCCATTTCCTACTCATGCCTACCCCTCGCTCTTTCTACTTCTTGTCTCTGAGCATGTCTTGGTGGGAGGCAGAAGCTTCCAGAAGATTCTTTTTCTTTTCAGATTCTCAGCTTCAGTGGTGTGCCTTCTGTCTTTATTCATTCATTGCACTGGACGTTTGGAATATGGAAGCTTCTTGCAGATCAAGATTTCCTAATACCACTCAAATTCATGTTCTCTGCTTCACGTTTCGCTGTCTTTTTCTTCTCTCCCCTCCTCTTACTGAACACCCCCCACCCCACCCCCATCCCTCTTTTCTCTCTGTCTTTGAGACAGGGTTTCACACTGTAGTCCAGACTGATTTCACACTATAAAAAATTTTCTGCTTCAGGTTTCTGAGTACCAGGATTATAGATTTGTCCCACCATACCCCAATTATTTTCTTTTGTTGTTGGCTGATAAGCCTCTTGAATCAAACCTTCTAACATTAAGAATTAATTTTAAGAACTAAAATTAAGAATATTATTTTATTGCTGGTCATGGTGGCCCAAGCCTTTAATCCCAGCTCTCAGGAAGCAGAGGCAGGTGGGCCTCTGTGAATTAGAGGTCAACCTGATCTACATAGTGAGTTCCAGGACAGTCAGAGCTATGTAGTGAGAGGTCCT